CCCCGCCCCGCGCTCAGCTTCTGGCCCCGCCCCCGCGCGCCCCCCTCCATGGCCGCCGCCACCGGTAAAGCTCCTCCCTCACCCGCAGCTCCCTACGTTCCCTAGCGATTTCTACCCCCCTCCGCGCGCCGTCTAAGCCTCAGCTTCCCCGCCTAACCAGGGGCGCCGCTCGGCGGCCTGAACCCGAGGCCGAAGCCGAACCCTAGCGCCAACTGCCCCGGCCCCCGGTCGGGGGGGAAGCCCGCCGCGCTGGCCGACATCACCAACACCGGGAGGCCCGGCCCTCCCAGGCACACCATGGCCGACGTCCTCAAGGTAACCCCTTCTCCCACCCGTGCATAAACAGCAGGCTCGGTTAGTGGTAGCTCAGTTCTGCAGTTTGTTGGTTCCGGTTTCCGCGCTGATGCCTAAATCCCTCGCTTGCTTGCTCGCAGGAGAACGCCAAGTTGGCTCAGCTGGTTGCCCAGAAAACGTATGTCTGCCTTGCTCGCCCCTCGGTCCTTCATTCCTATGAGAAAGGGGCTGTTTGATGTTTCTGAATTCTGAGGCAGTAACCTAGTTTTGACTTTGATTGTCTTCTCCGCAGCAAGATCATTGAGCTCAGCGGCATTGAGATTAACAAGCTCCGTGCTGCGCTGCAGAGCACGCATCAGCAGAACCTGCACCTCGCGCAGGCTCATTCTCAGATCACCGCGGTTCGTCTGTTTCTCCATCTCTGTTCTTGTTTAGATGGTTTTAGTTGTTGCTGTGAAAAATTTCAGTGGAACTAGCCGAGTTGCCAACCCAAGCAGTGTCAATGCTTACATCTTAGTTATACCTGTGAACGAGAATCAAAGACAAATACTGTTGTTTGGCCATTCTATATGTATTGTATTGAGCTAAGTTTGAAGGGAAAACTCGAGCAACTAATGTGCATCTATTTTGTACTTCTGAAAGAAAGCATCACATGTTGTCACATTGTTTTGTGGGGTTGTGTAGTGTAGCCACTTTCTGATCTATCTATGTGTTTTGTGCTTCTCTGCAGGAACTAAATCAGGCAAAAGATCGAGTAAGCTGTCACCGCTTCTTTTCTTTACGAGATTTTCAACTGTCAATACTAAGAATGTTGGTTACTGATTTGGGGAATTATTTGTGGATGTGACATGCAGGTAAAGGTACTGCAGCATGAGCTTTCATGCGCAATAGCAGTGCTTAAAGTAAAGGCTTCGGGAATTGAGGTAAAGTACGCCCATGGCTTAACTTAGTTTCCTGTTGTTACAGATAGCTTGATTATTTTCTTTCCATCCTGCACTATTGGCAGCGAAAGAGTACGACTGCTGATAACCAACTGCAAACAGAAATAACTTCACAGGTAGCCGGCACAATTCTCAAAATAGATGGCTCTTCATGTTCATCTATAATTCTAAGATTCTTCCTCTCATTTAATTCAGGAGTTAAAAGCCGCACCTTCCAAATCTGCACCAGTCGAAGCTCATCAAGCTGATAATAAGGGCACCAGTGCTAATGTGCACCATTCAGTCGAGACACAATGTAAAACTCATTCTTCTCCTTCTTAGATGTTGATATTATGCTTGGCAACCATTTCAGCTATGGCATTTTATGGTTTTGATTTTCCCTACTTAACACAACTTAATTTTCGTTTCTACTTTACCTTCAGCTGTCCACTTCTAGAAAATTTAATGTCAGTTTTCTGTCAATTTCTTGACAGCCTCTGTGCCATTTAATACAGACCAACCAGAAGCACCGCCAGATAAAACAAATAAAAGGTATTGTCTGTCTGTTTACCTATACTTGAGAGGCAATGCCACTGGCAGACTGGGCGCTAGATAGCCTGATTTACCAAAGCGACTTTCTATTGATTCAGAACATCAGTGAATACACGCACAAGTAAGCGAAAGTCAGAGTCACGTGAAGGTATAAAAGAGACCAACACATGTCAACAGAGCCACAGACCTGATGTGCAACCCACTGGATCATTGCATCATGAGGATCAGAGGTAATATTTATGTACAAAATGTGCTCATGATGCAACACTATCAGATTGTAGGTTGACCAATTTTTGTTTATGTGACCAGAAACACAGTACGAAGAAAGTCTTCTAGACTAAACCCAGGGTCTTGTGAGATGGCAGAAGCATCTTGTGAGATCTTGCCTACAGACACTGCAGTTCCTTCATCTTGTAGTTTTAGTGTTCCAGAACTTGATGATCCAAATAATGGAGAAGACATGGTAAGATATCGACATGTCTCATCTGTTCTTTGTTCCAAATGATTAACAGTGCAGTACTCATTTCATGCTATACTTGTGGATATGTTGTGCAGCGGAAGGCAGCACAAGATGAACTGTTATGCAACACAGCAGTGCATATAAAGGCTTCAGTACTCAAGGTAAAGTAATTTCATTGTTATACTCAGCTTATATATATAGTTAAAGATGTTGTAGTTTGAATTTCAACGCCTGACATCTTGATTGTCTGACTGTATTAGAAGGACGAGATAAATAAGCATCTGCAGAAAGAAGCAAATGTGCAGGTAGGCGGCACAATTCTTCAGTAATTGATCAATCCGTTTACCCATGCAGATTTATTAATCGTTATCACGGTGCTGCTTGTTTCTGACAATGTAACTAGGAGGAGATACAAGAAACACATTCTGTGGTTCATGGAATTGAGGACCCTGAGGCACATCAAATTGACAGTCACACAAAGAATACGATCCCAATCCACCTGGCAGAAACTCAACGTAATGCACTTCTCTCCCTTCAAGTATTTTGCTATTATATTGCATTTATCTTGGACATTTTGTTGCTGCACACTTGCACTTGAGGTTCTTAATTTGTTTTATGAATGAGTCAAGCGTAGCATGCTCATTTGCTCATTAAGAACTTTATGATCGTTAATGAATCGCTCGTACAGGAATGGTTGAACAAAAAGCACACCTTGTTTTTTCAATGAGAATGTACAAGAAAAGTGGCCAAACTACTTGCTAACTGCATCTTTTTATTGTTCTGATCACTTCCTTTAAAGGGAAAATAATAATTACTGTAATTGTAATTCCTTTTCAGCATCTCTGCCATTTGACACTCAACAGCCAGAACCACCCAAAGAAAGAGCAAAAAAGAGGTATGCTCATCATTCTAGTGATCTTTGAAATGCTCTCGATAGTACATCACACTGTCCAATGAAACAATATTCAGTTGGCTCAGAAATTATTTTTCTAGGGGTGGACACAAACGGAAATTGGATTCATGTGGAGGTCAAAAGGACTCAAACATAGAGGACACTAATTCCAAACTTGATTCTATTTGTAGTGAACCACCGTATCATGAAGAGACAAGGTAAAGTCTTTGCGTGCATGCATCTTTCTGCCTTTCACTAATGCACTTATATCTGAATGGAACATGGAATCATTGTTGCCGTAAATATGTGCAGAAAATCTCCGAGAAGAAAATCCTCAAGAAAGAACCCAGGAGAATTTGCTGAGGCCACAAAGGAAAATCTTGAGACCAAGCAAGAGGAAATTATTGCTCCTGTAGTCCCTTCCAGCTCAGATGTCGTGATGGAGCAGACCAAAGAAGAGAAGCAAAGCGACAGCCGTTCCTTGATGGAACCTTCTGAAGGGCAGGCGGCGGGGAGGTCCTTGGTGCAGGTGACAGGTAGAAGGTCTTCGATGCGGGCAGCAGCAAAGGCTGTATGCTACAAGGAGATACCCGTGAACGTGAAGATGCGACGACCTTAGCGAACAGCCAGTAACATTATGTGATCGTGTCAGTTGCGCTTGCTTTTTGTTGAGTAGAATATCATGTTTGTTGTATGATTGTAGAGGTCTGTTGCTTTCCCGCATGAAATGTAGTATCATGTTATTTTGCCATACTGGTGATGGACTGTACAGCGGTCCCTTTTGTTCTAGAACTGACCATAGCCATTTGTCGTGGACATGTCTGAATAACAGTGCCAATTCCAACAGCTGACCATTGGTACTAGTATTTTGCTCTTCTGTGTGTTCTGTCTGAAGAAATTTTGTGTTATCTGTCATATATGGGCATGATATTTGGGTAAGAAAATTATGTGCGAACTTCCCTATCTTTTATGTGTGCAAGCAAATAATCCTGCATTGTACAATTTTTTGCAATTTCATAGAAATGTTCAAAATTTTGGCAGTGTGTTCTGAATTTCAAAGTATAGTTTCTAATTTTGTTGTGCTTCTAATATGTTTGCCTTTGATCTATAGGTGTATTGCACGTGCAAAGTTACTATACTACTCCCTCCGGTTCTTTTTACTTTGTATATTAGGTTTGTTTGAAGTCAAACTCTTCAAAGTTTGATCAAGTTTATACAAAAAATAATTAACATTCACATAACACCACCAATATCATTAGAACCATCTTGGAATATATTTTCATATTATATTCATTAGGTATTATAAATGTAAATATTTTTAAATATAAATTTGGTCAAACTTGGTAAAGTTTGAGTTCAGACAAATCTAATATGCGGAGTAAAAAGGACCGGAGGGAGTATTATGTAGTTAGTCGGTTTATGTTGATTCATCAATGCAAATCATTCGGATGAAGCCCACTATAAATATGTCTCAGATACTGTGTTGTTAATTTTAATTGATGACACATGATTCAAGAGGGAATCCTATTTGGCGCGCCAGGTCACCCGCGAGCGACCTGGCGTGCAACCCCCTCGCACTGGGTGTTCATATGGGTCGGCCCATTTCCCCCTTTTTCCCTTTCATTTTTCCTTTTCCTTTTCTCTTTTTCTTTTCTGTTTTCTGTTTTCACTAAAATTTAAGAAATGTTTATTCTTTTGAAATTGTGAACACTTTTGAATCAAGGATTGTTTTTGAATTCGGTCAACATTTTTTTAAATCCCTGAACTTTTTCTGAAAATCTGTTTTTCTGAAATCTTAAAAAAGGGGCACCTCACGCCCACATGGGCCGGCCCATCTTTTGGCGCTGCTTACTACTGGCCTGCAACGGACACCTCGTCGTGTCATTGCTCGTGATGTCTTCACCAGGATTTGACTTACCAATGCGAAAGGTACCATGCCAGTGGTTCTATCATTTAGATAGAGAGTGATCTTTCCTTCTTGTCGAAGAAAGATATAACGTTGGGAAGGGAAAGGGAGTAGAAACGTTTTCATAGCCTTGGGGTGAAGTTTCACATGATCCAGAATTGCACTAGATCCTACAAGTCCTGTTATCGTTCTTAATTCGATAGCCACGAGAACCAATGATCACCCATGACTTCTGTGTATCACTAGTGCCACAAAGGCCTTTGGTGGTCTTATTGGCGCATACCACGGTGGGGTCTTCGACTGGGGTGAAGTCGTAACAAGGTAGCCGTAGGGGAACCTGTGGCTGGATTGAATCCTTCGTGATGGAAATGCCCTCGCCTACTTGACTAAACTAAGGACCTCTTGCGGAAAGAAAAGAGGCTCTCCCATTCCCACCTGATACGTCAAAAGAAATTGACTAATAAGGGGAACCAACCAGTCGAATTCGATTGATTATGTCACCCCGCATTACTATAAAAGGGCAGCAACTTTCTACTAAAATGGGCTTTGGCACTCCTTCCGCTATTACTCGAAATAGGGCAAGAGATCGTCAGATAAACCAAACTGCCGACCTACTGTCTATACTGCGCCGGATCAGATAATGGTGAGCCATCAGTCGGACGGAGTTTAACGTAAAGCTCCAAGGGAGTGTCAACAGTCTTCTCATCATTGAGTTGAGCTCGAGTGATCAAGTCACGACGTTATTTGATCTAAGATACCAAATATCCACGAGGAGAATGTGCGACCTCCTAGCGCATGTGTCGTAAGTGGGTCGGCCCATGTAGAAGCTCCTTCCACCGATTTTGCGAAGCTTCTACAAGCTTCCGATAAGTTTTCTGAAGATTCTTTTGATCGTTTTTTTCTTTCTATTCTGTGTTTTCTACCCATTTTTTTTCCATTTTTGTGTTTTCATTTTCCCTGACGTGCACAATTCTACCTTATCCGAGCATGTCATTGCATGCACTTTGGACAACCGTCCGTAGCATCACTGCAATCTACACCTCCGGTGACCGGAGAGCGCACCACGAGTCCAGGATGTCGCCCTTCCCTTTTAATTGTTTGTAAGTTCTTCTTTCACTTCCAATTATCTTCTTATATGTTAAGAAATTCCAATCTTATTTCTCTTAGAAAAACCTTGTTTTCCCACTCGTTAGGTCCTAAGTCTAGTAATGGTAAGCATGTAAATTTGTCAAGAAGTGACAATCCGCAATTCAAAATATCGGTGATGATTCAAAACTCTCTAATTTAAAAGGGATTAAGTTTTTTTCGAAACGGAGGAAAAATATTTTTCTCATTTATTAACTAAGGGAGAATAGAGTTTATTACTAATAACCTTTAAATGCCACATGAAAGACTACTCGCGTAATACAATAGACCCTACTTTCTTTGCACCTGTGGTGATCCACAAGTTTTCCTATTAGTACTGATGGTATTATGCATATATGAAAATATGCATGTTTACAAAGGGCTACTACCCTAAATATGTTCGGAATAAAGTATGGTCATTTATGTTCTTCTTTAATTTGTCTACAATTTTCTTTATATATAAAGCTTGACATCACAAGGTTTGGGTCCTGGCACAACCACTAATGGTACCGCCACCATCTCATGCCCCACCTCTCCTGAATATTTGTCATAGCGCGGCTGGAGGCGGCGGCGGATTTTTTTTCCACGTGCGGTGTGTGCGCGATGAGCGGGCGCACGAACAGGAACGCGTGCTCGCGCAATGCATGTGTGTGTGTGAGCTTTTAACAGTTAACATGCCATGTGGCCCTTACGGGTGGGCCATATATGTCATAATCATCCTGAATTTGAGCTCAATCGGTCATTTAAACAGAAGTGATAGTTTTTTTACCAAAAACTAGAGCTAAAGTGGTAGTTTTCTGTCAAAGTTTGTTAGAGCACACTACTAGGGAAAAGCCTAGCCCGCGCTACTGCTACGGCGCTATAGCTAAAGGTTAGCAGCAGCGTTGGTTTAACCGCGCTACTGCTATAGCTACTTAGTAGTAGCGCTTCTTGTAGAAAGCGCTACTGGTAATTACTAGTAGCGCGTCTCTCTTCCTGCGCTACTACTATTATTTCATATTCTATTTATTTTTTATTTTATGTTGTATTCATACACCGTTATACAAGTTTTCATACAGTAACACTTTAGAGATTGTTTTTACATCATAATGAGTTATTAAATCATTGGGTGAAAGAACCGTGGATTAATTTCAAGTGGATGGATCCTAAGTGACCAAGTCATGGATGGGAATAAGTAACGATTAAATAAGATGTTCACCCCTTGACGACACAGTGTGATCAGTGTGTTCAACGATCCTTGTCAGCGGCTGCGGTATTTGTGAAGTTCTCGGCCTCTTTATATACTCTCTAGTTATCCAGTTGTCGTTCCAAATATCAGGGGATTCTCTATCTCCTAATCTCCTTATCAAACCATGAGTCATTATGTCTTTCCCATGCAAAATAGCCCGCCATATCTGTGATGGATGTGGTCCCAAGGTTGCATCAGAAAGAGAGTTATTTGGATAGTAGACAACTTCTAAGATTAACGAACTCAAAGAACCGGGATGGTCTAGCAAGCGCCAGGCTTGCCTGGCAAGTAGGGCTAGATTAAAGATCTCAAATAATCAGTCTCATCATAACATCCCATGAGACCCAGCATGGCTTCCTTCTCCCATGTTTACTTCCCTACCAAAATTGTCTGATTAAAGAGGTGACACTCGCGCAACATCCTCACGGGAAACGGAAGCAGGCCATGGAATATACCGGAATTTCCTATGCCACAGACTTTATCAAAACCTCTTTACCTGCAGTTGACAAGAGCTTTTCCATCCATCCTCTCAGCTTTTCCGAAACTCTGTCACGTAAGTATTTGAAAGTCCTGTTCTTGGACTGCCCCATATCAGTTGGCATACACAATTTCCTGTCATTGAGCGACTCATTTTAGACGTTCAAAGTATTCTTGACATCTTCCTTGAGAGCCTGTGGGCATCCTCTCTATTGCAAAATATAAAGGACTTATCATGATTTATTCTTCGTCTGGATGCCAACCAATAATTCTCCAGTAGGTTTGATACTTCAATTGCCCCATCATGTCTTGACTTAAAAAGTAACATGTTGTCATCTGCAAAAAGTAGATGGTTCACAGCCAAAGCTGTTGGTGCCACTTAAGCGTGATGAAGAAGAACTATATTTCAGGAGACATTAAAGGCCCTCTACTGCAATTAAGAAAAGATATGGGGATATTGGATCTCCTTGTCGGATACCTCTGTTGGGTTGTAATTGATCAAGTATCTCACGATCAAAAAGAATCGAGAAAGATACTGTCTGAACCATGCCCATAACTATTTGTACCCATGTAGGAGAAAATCCCAATTTCAACATTGTGGCTTTAGAATAGTCCCACTCCAACCTATCATATTCCTTCCTCATATCGAGCTTCACAGCATAGTAGCTACTAACCTTTTCCCTCGCTGCATTTCATGAAATGTAAGTACTGATATGCACTAATAATATTATCTGTGATCATTCTTCCAAGGACAAAAGTTGATTGCTCCTCAGATATGATATCAGGTAAAATTTGCTTCAATCTATTTGCAATAACCTTGGAAGCTATCTTGTATAAAACATTGCACAACTGATAGGCCTAAACTTTGGTAAGAGGGTTGGGT